CCTATTTAATTCGCGTTTTTGGGCACTGAAATTCTTATTCCTTGGCCAATTTTTTATTTTTTCATACTGATTTAAAGGCCATTAAAGCATTTGACCCAGTCAAAAAAGTTTCAGTTGTATATCTTTTACGGTTTTTGCGGAAAGTCGCGTTAAATTTGATGCCGTGGTGTCAGTAAAATGGCACGGATCCAATATCCATCTATCCATGACCATTTATATATATCCACCAGCGTGCGCTTTTTCGCATAGCGGGCTCTCACCAGCCCGCTGTCAAAGGGCCCGATATCTCTACAGCCCGCTCACGATATAGCCCGCTAACAAGTGACATTTAATTTTACCAGTAGCAATATAGCCCGGAGTTCTCTAAAATATTTTCAGTTTCTGTATCGTCTCCATGTGAAATTCCTTATTACACTGACTATATAATACATTTTATTTTTGTGTCCGATAGGGCTGCTCATGCAGATGACATGATACTTGATTTATATCAAAGTTATTATAACACATTACATAATACACATCAGCACTATAATCCCCCTATATTATTGATATTCATCGTCACTGACATTACATTCATTATTCCCACGGCCCAGGAATGCAGTGCATCTCCAGCCCCTATATATACGACACATCCCTTTATGATTGGCTTACATTGAACACGTGACGTGTTACCATGGTTACAACAATTAGTGGCGACCTTTTCTAGAGTTGACTTTTATACAAGCTCCATTGTTTATTTATAAAATTATATATTAACTGTAATACGCCCGCTGGTGGATATAATCCACATCACCTCGACCCGCGGGCGGAAAAATCGTATAGCACTCGGGCCCGATGGGCCCTCCGTGCTATACGAAAATATGTCCTCCTCGGGCTAGCGCCCTCGGGGACATATGAAATATTGCACGCGCGTGCGCGTGCAATATTTTGTTCCGCCCGCGAGTCTCCGGTGATATGTATATATATCGTCTCGCTTTATATATAGTAAAATAATCGCTCCTACTATAAATCGCTCACCCAAATTTTAAGAAAATTCTTGTGAAAAGGCCCTTTGGGTATGATAGCGATATAAATCGGTGTATTTTTGGATGCTGATTCCGAATCACCCCCCATGACGTAGGGTTAAAATGCTTCCCTGGAGAGTTATGGGCAAAAAACTGTTTTGGTCACGTGACAGGCTAGTAAAATACGAATTCGATCGTTTAGGGCTCGGGTTGTAGGTTTACAACCTACCAGGACGCACGTGTTAGGTACGTGTGTATTACCTCAGAACTAGAAGTTAAGTTGAACCCCAGTATGCTGCGTTTAATTCCAGTTTAATTCCTTGGCATAAGGTTTCATAAAGATGAATCAAGTGATAACTTATATGATTAAGATCCGATTGGATAGGTTTGCAGAGCAATGCAGCCATTGGTCAGAAAGGACATTTAGTGTTATTAGAATTATTTACAAAGAAATTATTGGATTAATAGTGTTATTGAATTCATCAATTAGTGGAACAATATTTTAACCAGTTTTAAAAAACCTGTATTTGTATTATTAAACCTGTTTGTTTGCAATAACCTGTTTGCAATAACCTGTTTGTTTGCAACTCTCCTGGATAACGCGTGGACTGCCTCTTCCACTGGAGCTCCTCTTCCACAGAACACCTAGACTACAAAAGATGAACACACAAGATTCTCACTGCCGTTAGCCTTTAGCCTTTTCCCGAACGCCTCTCCTATGATTGGTTTTCTCTACACGGCCCGGGATGTTAGTATGCTGCGCTCTCTCCCACGTCACTAGTTTCATAAATAGGTTTGTAGTCCTTTATTTTAAATCATTGACCTTAGTATTTTGTTCCTAAGACCGTATCAATATCATGCATAATTAGGTTAAGATTAAATCCGTGAGTTCAAGTTCTGTGCAAGTATCATAATATGCGGGTAAAATACTTATCCGTTATTTTCACCAGATTTTCCTAACGTCATGCCAGATCATTGTAATTGGTTCCCGTCGCTTCTGTTGAATTCCTGATAGGCTAGGAAGTTTGTTCCTCGAGGTATAGCTTTTATAATTATTAAACCATTAATTAGATGTTGTTCATTGCAATGTTATTTCCCATTTATTGATTCACATTGTTCGTAATACTAGAGTCATTCCCGATAGGTTAGTAATTAAATTCTAATAGGTTTATACATTTCCTAGGTAATATTGTGGTGACCCTATCCTACCTGTTTGCTTGTCCTAACCTTAGCAGCACCTACATTATTACCTCGTAAGTCATTTGAGCATTTATTGATAAGTTCTTACATATTTCGTATTCTACAGTTCACTCTAATTTAACTTTATCATGTTTAATTTTATCCTAGTTAGTATATTATTGTCTTTAATTAATCCGTCATTTGCTAATAATTTGTCCCTTTCTAGGACATTCCCCTCCCACGGATTCTGCCCTCGTTGGCAGCATTGAAGGAACGTAGCCATGATATAGCAGCTACCTGTCCATCGTCCAGAGAGAGAGTCAGCCAGCCCGTTATAATACACACCAGTTCCCATTGATCACCCAGCTACCCAACTGATTTAGGGTAACGGACTTTACCATGAGATTGAACACTTATTTTATGTACGATTGGATTGGTCTTGCATTATTTTACAGTCCTTAATTAACTTGTTTTAATTGGTTATCTTCCAGATATAAATTCATCTAAAAGTTCGAAGTTAAAACTCTAGACATAATTTCCCCTAAAAGTTCGAAGTCCATAATTATAACATAAATTCCTGTCATAAATCTACCATTGTACACTGAGAGTTTGGGTTTGAACTATGCCCTGAGTGAGTCTCAAACCGGGAGGTATTCCATAATATCGGAACCTGAATATCCATACTCTAGTTAAAAGGAGCCCATTATACGTAGTTAAATTAATACCATCACAATTTAATGAAATATAATAAATAAATAATCTCTAGAAGTCATGGAAAATTGGAGCAGTAAATAGGCCGTTAAGTAAGTTGTCGTGCTAAAATCCGAGTACGCCTCTTAACAGCACGCCGAGTTGAACTCGTCGACGGTCCAATATATGGAACAGATATATTTACGAGTATCACCCGTTAAGGTTCGGGTTAGGGTTAGGGTTGTGGTAAGGGTTATGGTTGGCTCTTACTAATTCGCTCGCCCAAACATTTCACGTGACTTTGGTTTTTATGGTTTTGAAGCCGTACAAAACGGTTTTACATAAACCCTAATCCCAACCCTAACCCTAACCATAACCCCGAAGCTAACCATAACCCTTACCACAATTAGCTTGTCACGTGACCAAAATGGTTTTTTGCCCATAACTCTCCAGGGAAGCATTTTAACCCTACGTCATGCATCATGGGGGGTGATCCGGAATCAGCGTCCAAAAATACACCGAATTAGATCACTTTCATGCCCAAAGGGCCTTTTCACAAGAATTTTCTTAAAATTTGGGCGAGCGATTTAGTAGGAGCGGTTATGGTTAGCTTCGGGGTTATGGTTAGGGTTGGGATAAGGGTTTTTGTAAAACCGTTTTGTACGGCCGCAAAACCATAAAAACCAAAGTCACGTGGAATTTTTGGGCGAGCGAATTACTAAGAGCCTAAGATAATAACATCGTCATCACCGTTGAACTTCCAAATTAAAATTCGCAAATTTCGATTCGAAAGATCCACTATTCCTTAATTGACGATTCCAATTCATCGCAGCTCGTCGAGGCACAGTTAGTTTAAGTTAAGTAACGCATTTTGCCGATCAATGATCAAGCCGTTGCGAGAAGCATAATTGAGTGCGCGGCGCAGCACAGTAAAGCATCGCGCTACAACACTATTCCCAGAAAAGACCATCATACAGGGTGCGTAAAAAATTATGGAAGAAAAACTGTAAGGAGTTGGCACGAATCCTTTTGGAAAGTATCAGTTATATAATGCCTTGAGATGAGATAGCTGCTACAAAATCAAGTGGATTGAAGAATTTGGTCATGCATTTCTTTACGGCTAAAAATAAAGGGCCGGGTTCAAAATTTAAATTCTTAAAATATAGTACAATTCTTGCATGTTTCTGTGTGCGGTTCTGCCTCTGAGTGCTGAGACTGTAGCTCAGCCAAAAATGTATAGTTTTATTTATCTTTCCATGTTCCATACTAGCTTAGACACTTCTCCCATACTAGCTTGGACACCCCTAGGAGTTGGAGTGCTAACAAAGTACTGTGCCGGCTATGTATGTTAAGATATCAATTGAATATTGAGATGTCATGTACCAAAAATGAGCCATATCTAATCTAGCTAGATCGGGTTGATGCGAAGGATTGACATCGTGAATCAAGTCAAACTGCAAACATCAAAGGGGGTTGCCGATTTAAAAAAATGTTTGCAGGCCAATTCCAAAAAACTCTTCGGCTAATACATACGTACTATATATATAGTATAACTGTCAAAAGAGTCTTAACGGGTGATACTCGTAAAATATTTGTTCCAACTCGGCGCGCGTCCTGGTAGGTTATAAATCTATTGACCATTGTTAATGATCTGGCCCGGCGCGCGCTACTTCGCGCGTAGCTCGTGCCATCGCGGGAAGAAAGCGGCACGTACGTGCTACTTCGAAGAAATTTAGACGAGTAACATCCGTCAAATCAGCGAGCGTGCTAAATCACTTTACAGTCGATCTTTGAAATTGTTCTAAAAGGGCCCCCCGACAGTTGAGGCCAACTTCATTCGATGTTTTTTCGGACGCTGATTCCGAATCACCCCTAACATCTGTCAAGTATTATGTTGCACGTTTATAATTATAACTATAAGTACAAGATCAGACGTCAGACGTGGGTAGTAAACAGCTAGAAAATTTATTTAAAGGTCAAGCAGATCATTGTTATTGTGCGTGTAGGGTTTTGGTGTTTTTAGAGGCAATCAGTTTTAGGAAAGGTATTTGTTCACTTAGTACTTCGAATCGATAAAAAGTACTTTAAGTGGATTTAGTTATAGGTAACAAGTGATACAAGTTTGATACATGCTAACTATTAAAGTATTAACTATAAAAGGGCTTTTACTAATTCGCTCGCCCAAAAATTATCACGTGTCTTTGGTTTTTAAGATTTTTCAGCCGAACAAAAGGGTTTTACATAAACCCTGATCCCAACTCTAAGCTAACCCTATACTAACCATAGGCATAACCCCAAAGCTATCCACAACCCTAACCACTACACAACCCTAACCCTAACCACTACACAACCCTAACCCTAACCCGAGCCCTAAACAATCGAATTCGTGTTTAACTAGCCTGTCACGTGACCAAAACAGTTTTTGCCCATAACTCTCAGGGAAGCATTTTTACTTCATATGGGGGTGGTTTAGAATCAGCGTCCAAATATACACTGAACAAAAGTACTTTCATATCCTCAAGGCCTTTTCACAAGAATTTTCTTAAAATTTGGGCGAGCGATTTTAGGGGAGCGTTACTAAACTTAAAGTGAGTTCGATCAAGACAAGATTATGTTCACACGAAATAGTTCGGTACAGTACTGTACTCTGGGCCAAAACACACAAATATACTTTTACATTCCGCGTTCTTCGCGCTAAACTTGCTGCAACGGCTTCCAATTAAGAATCATGTTTCCGTGCACTCAAACAATATCAGCTCGATCAAATCTGAAACCTTTTATTTTTCCCGTTACGGGCTCTCAGGCTTTGATAAACTTCATGCTTCATAAATCTAAATTACTGCACGAGAAAGTTTGATTACAATTCCTGCAGGATGAATCGATCTGCAGTTCACAATACTATTATATCAATTATAAAAAGAGTCCGACTGATTCGAAATACCGGTCAATACCATTTAAAGTTAATCAGCCGTGATGCATAAAATACCAATAATTTAACTTTAATTTAGATGCTAGAGGGGCTTTTCCGTGACCATAAAGGTGCTAACTCCTTGGGAGGTTCCTTACTGATTAAATTTAAAGAGCTAGGTTCTCGGTATTACCGCTTATTAACGACCATATTAAATGTTCAAATCAGAACGGATAATAAAATCAGGATCATAAAGTCACGAATCATAAAATTCCGGATATAAAATACCCGGATCATAAAATCAGGAAGGTAAAGGCCCCATTATGATTAATGCAGATAGTGGTTCTAAGGTGATAGCGGTTCTAAGGTATAAGGATTCATTATGATTAAATTTAATGCAGATAGTGGTTCTAATGTAACTGACAGGAGCCTGACTTGAAATAAAATTACAATCTACAATCTACATCGACAATTTGAACATTGAAACATTTAAACAGAAGTATTTAAAGAAAAGTCAAAGTGTAACTCAATCGTCCATAGCTAATAGTAATAAGATGTGACCACCCCTGGGCCCTGAGAGTAGTACCACAGATCAAGCTCGCGAACATTGACAACTTCTAATCGGACACTCTGTACTGTCCCTAACTAGTATGCAAAATGGAAATTTAAAAGTCTATGCTGTAATCAGAACTTTTTGTGCGGTTCGTCCTGAAATAAATTAGAATTTTAGATATAAAAAAGACAAAAATAGCTATCCGATGTTATGTGTGAACTATTGAGATAAAACATAAAAACCTTTACAAAGCTGAGTCATTAATATGATAGGAATTTAATCAAATTTTCTAATTAATTAACAAAAAATAATGGTAGTAATTAAATAAAATAAAAGTTACCATAACTAGAAGAGCATCATGTAACAGACGAAGATTGCAGCTATGTATTGATAAGCAGATCTAGATCGCGAACTGGCAGTGTTTCCTGAAATTTTGATATGAAGATTATATCGGATCGATTTGGAAAGGATGCAATAATTATACAAAACATACCAAATACCTTACACAGGACTTTATTTTAACGAACACCATTGGCATTTGGTCGCTGGTGGCCGAAGCGTGTATTTTTATGTCCGTTAAAATAAAGTCTGCCCTATTAAAGTCTGTCCACAGTCCAAGTACAGTCCGTTCAAATTTGTTCCCAAACGTATTCCACTACGAAATTATTGTCCAGGATTGACTACTTTTTGGCTCTTACTAATTCACTCGCCCAAAAATTATCACGTGACTTTAGTTTTTATGGTTTTGCAGTCGAACAAAACGGTTTTACATAGACCCTAATCCAAACCCTAACATTATGATTAACCACAACCCTAGCCCTAGTATAGGCCTAACTTAACCCGAGCCCTAAACAATCAAATTCGTGTTTTACTAGCGTTTTACCCTACGTCATGCCCATGGGGGGTGATTCGGAATTAGCGTCCAAAAATACATCGAACAACATTAAATGTATGGCGCAGTTTATATCTCCGCCAAAAGCAAATTTGTAAGCACTCACGCGCATTATATCCAAATGTGATTTTAAATTTTCGCATTGGATCGTTGCGCATTGGATGGTTACTATGCCGCGCCCTGCAGCATTACAATTTATTTGAGACCTTCGCCCCGCATTTAAGCTACTCGTCTGATATGATACCTTTATTTTTTAACAGCTTATTTTTTAAACATTTGATCAATTATTCTGTCTTATTTTGTTCCATTTTAAACTGTACGATTAATTGTGAGTGTGTTTTATATTATATACATTTGATTTCACAGTTGTGAACTTTATTTTCAGTATTTTATGTGACAGAGATTAGTTTAACTAATATTTGCTTCTCCTAAATCAGCTTATTTTTAGAGACATTCTGTCTTATTTTGTTCCATTTTAAACTGTACGATCAGTTGTGTATGAAAATTAAAATGATTGTCACGAGATGTTTGATCTAGTTATTAGAGTTGAGCTATTCCTAGTCCTTGTTATGACAGTATTAAAACTGTAATAGTTGTCACGAGATGTTTGATCTAGTGGCTAGAGTTGAGCTATTCCTAGTCCTTGCTATGACAGTATTAAAACTACAATAGTTGTCACGAGATGTTTGATCTAGTGGCTAGAGTTGAGCTATTCCTAGTCCTTGTTATGACAGTATTAAAACTGTAATAATTGTCACGAGATGTTTGATCTAGTTGTTAGAGTTGAGCTATTCCTAGTCCTTGTTATGACAGTATTAAAACTACAATAGTTGTCACGAGATGTTTGATCTAGTGGCTAGAGTTGAGCTATTCCTAGTCCTTGCTATGACAGTATTAAAACTACAATAGTTGTCACGAGATGTTTGATCTAGTGGCTAGAATTGAGCTATTCCTAGTCCTTGTTATGACAGTATTAAAACCACAATAGTTGTCACGAGATGTTTGATCTAGTTATCAGAGTTGAGCTATTCCTAGTCCTTGCTATGACAGTATTAAAACTACAATAGTTGTCACGAGATGTTTGATCTAGTGGCTAGAGTTGAGATATTCCTAGTCCTTGCTATGACAGTATTAAAACTACAATAGTTGTCACGAGATGTTTGATCTAGTTATTAGAGTTGAGCTATTCCTAGTCCTTGATATGACAGTATTAAAACTACAATAGTTGTCACGAGATGTTTGATCTAGTGGCTAGAGTTGAGCTATTCCTAGTCCTTGTTATGACAGTATTAAAACTGTAATAATTGTCACGAGATGTTTGATCTAGTTGTTAGAGTTGAGCTATTCCTAGTCCTTGTTATGACAGTATTAAAACTGCAATAGTTGTCACGAGATGTTTGATCTAGTTGTTAGAGTTGAGATATTCCTAGACCTTGCTATGACAGTATTAAAACTGTAATAATTGTCACGAGATGTTTGATCTAGTGGCTAGAGTTGAGCTATTCCTAGTCCTTGTTATGACAGTATTAAAACTACAATAGTTGTCACGAGATGTTTGATCTATAGTTATTAGAGTTGAGCTATTCCTAGTCCTTGCTACTCTAACAACTAGATCAAACACCTCGTGACAACTATTGTAGTTTTAATACTGTCATAACAAGGACTAGGAATAGCTCAACTCTAATAACTAGATCAAACATCTCGTGACAACTATTGTAGTTTTAATACTGTCATAGCAAGAACTAGGTGTAGCTCAACTCTAATAACTAGATCAAACATCTCGTGACAACTATTGTAGTTTTAATACTGTCATAGCAAGAACTAGGAATAGCTTAACTCTAATAACTAGATCAAACATCTCGTCACAACTATTGTAGTTTTAATACTGTCATAACAAGGACTAGGAATAGCTTAACTCTAATAACTAGATCAAACATCTCGTCACAACTATTGTAGTTTTAATACTGTCATAACAAGGACTAGGAATAGCTCAACTCTAGCCACTAGATCAAACACCTCGTGACAACTATTGTAGTTTTAATACTGTCATAACAAGGACTAGGAATAGCTTAACTCTAATAACTATAGATCAAACATCTCGTGACAACTATTGTAGTTTTAATACTGTCATAACAAGGACTAGGAATAGCTCAACTCTAGCCACTAGATCAAACACCTCGTGACAACTATTGTAGTTTTAACAAGGACTAGGAATAGCTCAACTCTAATAACTATAGATCAAACATCTCGTGACAACTATTGTAGTTTTAATACTGTCATAACAAGAACTAGGTGTAGCTCAACTCTAATAACTAGATCAAACATCTCGTGACAACTATTGTAGTTTTAATACTGTCATAGCAAGAACTTGGTGTAGCTCAACTCTAATAACTAGATCAAACATCTCGTGACAACTATTGTAGTTTTAATACTGTCATAGCAAGGACTAGGAATAGCTCAACTCTAATAACTAGATCAAACATCTCGTGACAACTATTGTAGTTTTAATACTGTCATAGCAAGAACTAGGAGTAGCTCAACTCTAATAACTAGATCAAACATCTCGTGACAACTATTGTAGTTTTAATACTGTCATAACAAGGACTAGGAATAGCTCAACTCTAATAACTAGATCAAACATCTCGTGACAACTATTGTAGTTTTAATACTGTCATAGCAAGGACTAGGAATAGCTCAACTCTAATAACTAGATCAAACATCTCGTGACAATTATTACAGTTTTAATACTGTCATAGCAAGGACTAGGAATAGCTCAACTCTAATAACTAGATCAAACATCTCGTCACAACTATTGTAGTTTTAATTCTGTCATAACAAGGACTAGGAATAGCTCAACTCTAGCCACTAGATCAAACACCTCGTGACAACTACTGTAGTTTTAATACTGTCATAACAAGGACTAGGAATAGCTCAACTCTAATAACTAGATCAAACATCTCGTGACAACTATTGTAGTTTTAATACTGTCATAACAAGGACTAGGAATAGCTCAACTCTAGCCACTAGATCAAACACCTCGTGACAACTATTGTAGTTGTAATACTGTCATAACAAGGACTAGGAATAGCTCAACTCTAATAACTATAGATCAAACATCTCGTGACAACTATTGTAGTTTTAATACTGTCATAACAAGGACTAGGAATAGCTCAACTCTAATAACTAGATCAAACATCTCGTGACAACTATTGTAGTTTTAATACTGTCATAACAAGGACTAGGAATAGCTCAAATCTAATAACTAGATCAAACATCTCGTGACAACTATTGTAGTTTTAATACTGTCATAGCAAGGACTAGGAATAGCTCAACTCTAATTACTAGATCAAACATCTCGTGACAACTATTGTAGTTTTAATACTGTCATAGCAAGAACTAGGTGTAGCTCAACTCTAATAACTAGATCAAACATCTCGTGACAACTATTGTAGTTTTAATACTGTCATAACAAGGACTAGGAATAGCTCAACTCTAATAACTAGATCAAACATCTCGTGACAACTATTGTAGTTTTAATACTGTCATAGCAAGGACTAGGAATAGCTCAACTCTAATAACTAGATCAAACATCTCGTGACAACTATTGTAGTTTTAATACTGTCATAGCAAGAACTAGGAATAGCTTAACTCTAATAACTAGATCAAACATCTCGTGACAACTATTGTAGTTTTAATACTGTCATAGCAAGAACTAGGAATAGCTCAACTCTAATAACTAGATCAAACATCTCGTGACAAATATTGTAGTTTTAATACTGTCATAACAAGGACTAGGAATAGCTCAACTCTAGCCACTAGATCAAACATCTCGTGACAACTATTGTAGTTTTAATACTGTCATAACAAGGACTAGGAATAGCTCAACTCTAACAACTAGATCAAACATCTCGTGACAACTATTGTAGTTTTAATACTGTCATAACAAGGACTAGAGATAGCTCAACTCTAATAAATTCTATTCGTTGTTATCACAATAATATAACTCAGAATGTTAACAAGTTTTTGAAAAGACTGTAGAAGAAGATATCATGCCTTATTCGTTGGAGTTCTCAGACCCGTCGACACTCTACTGCACAATTTCTAAGAAGAGGGTTGACTTCCTCAAAATGGGAAACAGGAGAAAAAGCTACAGACCATCAAGGCAGAATTAAAAGAATCATTTACCTAATACTTTTTAACAGTCACAGAGTTTTATAATAAAACTTTGTAAGAATTTCGATCGTTCTTTAAAGTTGTGTTTTGTTAACATCATATTTTGTATTTCTCGACTCAAAAAAAGCATTATTATATAACAAACGAATCTTTTATCATTAAAGCATTTCATGCTTTACTGCCGGTTTACTATACAACTGAAGTGCACAATTGTATGGAAAAGAAAATTTATTCTCAATAATACGGGAGGAGGTGTTCTAACCAAATTGTACTAATATCACCCCGTTAGGTATACCGGTACCGGTACACCGTAGGTACCGGTTTATTCTCTACTAAATATCGCCCATGTATAATATCGTC